AGTGTACACTTCAGTGTTACAATCCCCGCTTATCTGCAGGGGATACGGTCCAAGACCCTCAGTGGGTGCCTGAAGTCACAGACAGACAGAGTACTGAGACCTAAAGACACTACGTTTCTCCTATGCATACATACCTATAATAACATTTAATTTATAAATTAGGAACAGCAAGAGGTTAGCAATAACTAGCAATAAAACAGAACAATCATAACAGTAGACTGTAATAAAAGTTATGTGAATGTGGTCTCTCTCTCTCTCTCTCAATATCTATTGTATTATATTCATCTTTTCGTTTCAAACTTTAAAGGAAGGACTTTATGCTTCTCTTTGGCATATATGAATTGCCAGCATCCTTCCTCTTGCACTTGGGGGCCATTATTAAGTGAAGTAACAACCAGCAAAGAGAACGTCGATCCCCAATATCTGGAGGACGGGGTCCTTTTGCACACCCTGGCCCCTGAAGGCTATGTGTAAGCCGCTCCAGGAACAGGTGCACGCCGCCTCCCAGGGGCTCCGGGTAAGGGACTGGCAGCCACCACGGAGCTAAGAGCTGCAATTGACCAAAACTCACTGCCATTTACCATTCAAGTCTTCCCCTGGGACTTGCAAGCCTTCGATAAGGCTCCAAAGGTCCAAATGGTTATATCAGACACAGCCTGGCAGTGCAGGTGTCATGTGGGGAGACAGATTCCTGGTTCTTCCTACACCCTGCCACCTTCCTGGAATCCCTTCCCCAAAGCTGGGTTTTGTAATCAACTTGATCACCAGTGGATTTTCCGAGCCATTTTCTCTTTTTCCAGTGGCTGCTGTTTGCTTTCTTGGTGGAAATTCACTCTTCCCCTGGTTTCTACAGCACCATTTTACTTCAATTTTACTCCAATCTTAGGACTTGTCTCGGCTCCTCTTTGTCTCTTGACCCCCAACTCCAAGACATCCTGGGCCTCTGTTCTCTCCACACTGTCCCTTGGCGACTTCATCCAGTTTTTCCACAGCTGGTCATCTCCAAGGCTGGCCACCACCGTCCTTCCCTGTCCACACGTGCGTGTGCTCACAAAGAGAATTTCTCCTTTGCTTGCAAATCCGTTTCGCTGGCACTGTTCTTGGGCCATCTGCCAGCTTCCCTGGGATCTTCCAGGATCTTATCAAAAGAAAGTTATTAAATTTCAGACTTACCTGAAATTGACTTTCACATATAAGTTCTCAAACAAAAGATATGTTGTGACAGTAAGTTTGAAAGGTTATTTGAAAAGTTCACTTGGGGCTATCTGATGCTATGAATAACTCATCCTGGAATGGCTCATCTTCAAGGTGATTAGACATCTCTTCAGTGAAGTTGACTTTTAAGAAAGTCATGTGAGCCCTAGCCAGTTTGGCTCAATAGGTAGAGCATCGGCCTGCAGACCAAAGGGTCTCAGGTTCAATTCCGGTTAAGAACATACACTTCAGTTGCAGGCTCCTCCCCAGTCCAGGCCCTAGTCGAGTGCAAGAAGCAACCAATCAATGTGTTTCTCTCACAACGATATTTCTCTCTGTCTTCCCCTCTGTCTTCCACTCTCTCTAAAATTCAATGGAAAAACATTCTTGGGTGAGGATTAAAAAAAAAGAAAACCATGTGAAAACCAGTGGGATACTCCAGAGAAAACGATCATAACTTTCATTTAATATAGTAAACACCTCATTAAAAGTGCCAGTTTGCCCTGGATGGTTTAGCTCGGTGGATAGAGTGTCAGCCTGCAGACTGAGAAGGGTCCTGGGTTTGATTCTGGTCAAGGGCACGTACCTGGGTTGTGGGCTTGATCCCCAGTGGGGGACATGCAGAAGGCAGTCAATCAGTGATTTTCTCTCATCATTGATGTTTCTATCACTCTTTCCCTCTTTCTTCCTTTATAAAATATATAAAGTGCCAGTTAGCCTCCTGTCACCCTTCTGCCCTGGCTCATTCCCCATCCCTACTCTAAGTTTCACTATTTACAAACACCAGGCTGTTCATCAATTTGCAAAAAGTTCAGAGTGGAGGTTGCAAATTAAGGCAACAAATCAAACAATCCATTTGTTTCGCAGCCATAGCAACTGGAACGAAAGCCTGAAGAACCAATCAGACAAATCCAGGCTGTTAGGCATTCTTCAAAACCAGGACACGAAACTCTTCAGAAGTCAAAATCATTATCGGTCCCCGACTGGGCTCGTGACCACCTGTGGGGACCGGGGATGGAACAAACCACTTCCTCGAGGAGCCACACAAACCACACAAACCGGGTGGCCCCAAGAGACCTGGTGAGGGCTGAGGAGTCTCAGAACGGGCTCCTGGCTGGGGCAGTGAAAACCCCTGCCACAGGTTTTAGGCTGGTCAGCCCTGAGCTGGCACGGCGCGGTCTGAGGTCAGTGACACGTGTACCATGTGTTCATGATGACATACGGTCCCCACCCCGAGGGGACTGCAGTTCTGAGTGACACCTCAGGCCCCAGCACCAACTTCCTGGAAACAGGGAAGCTCTAAAGGATACGCTGCCCATTCACCTCAATGGAAACAAAGGTGCCCCCCACCCCCGCCCCATCTATCAAGGAAAACCTCCCGGAAAAGATTAATCTTCTGATTCTGAGGGAGGAGTCACCCAGAGCCAGGAGTCTGCCAGACCCACTGCTTCGCGCTGGAAGGGGACTCGAAGAGTCAACCACACCAGGGCCTCCTACTGTTGTCAAGGCAACCAGAGCTCCCAGCTCTCACAGGGGAGTCTCCAGGCACTCACTTGCCCCCCGATTCTTTTTGTTTTAAGCCATTCTTTGAAAACAAAAACCATAAAAATATATATTCCTATTCCTAGCACCCTCATGGTTTCTCTTAGTTTAATCCTTTGTCAGACACCTAATCCTCCATGTAATTAAAATGCCAAGGTAGCAAGAACTTGAAGCAATAATACCTTTCCCTTTGTGATGATACAAATCACGAAAATCATACGAATCATGAAAGGAAATTCATGCAGGAATGGTCCAAACAGCTTGTGTATTTTGGATGACAAGAGTACAATTCCCAAACCATGATAACAACACGGGGTGGGGAGGAGGAGACTTAGAAAAGACCAGCAAAAGTGCAGGCAAACCAACCGCTGGTAGAAAGAAATACTTATAAGACACCCAGGGAACTTTGCAAAATGACTACCATTCTGTGATGTTATATGGTATGATCATTAATTGCTTTAGCTTAATAGCATTGTGACGAAGGAAGGAAAAGAGGGAGGGAAGAAAGGAGAGAGGGAAGGGAAAGTGAAGAAGGGGAAGGGAGGGAGGAGGGAAAGAGGGAGGGAGAGGATCGCACCAGCACTGGGAACAACACACAGGCCCATCAACATGCCAGAAATGTCAAGGAATTTTGGCAGATGGGACTAGATTGAAGAAAAATACCATAAGCCAAACAGCATCTCCCCTTCTTAAGAACAGGTTGGGTTGTTGGAAAGAACAGCTCTGGAACCCCTGTGCCAAAGCGCAAGGTGCAGAGGAGACAGCGGGCTCTGGGCAGACGGAGAGCCCACGACCTGGACACCCCTGGCTGCAGGGGCTCAGTAGCACTTCAAGTAGTCACGGTCCGGGGGATCTGTGATGCCACCACTCACTTCCGGGTAAAGAGCAAACCAAAGAGAATGATGCACCAGGAGAAGGGATTCCCCAACCCAGCAAATATAAGTGTAGAGACGACAACATGCTGAGGATAAATGGATAGAGCCCACTTAGGAAACAGGGGAAACCCACCAGGGTCTACAAAAAAGATTTGGAAACAAACAAGAACACGGCATCCAAACTCATGAAAAAGATTATGAGCCTGGCCAGTATGGCTCAGTGGTTGAGCATCAACCTATGAACCAGGAGGGTCATGGTTCGATTCCCGGTCAGGGCACATGCCTGGGTTGCAAGCTCGATCCCCAGTGTGGGGTGTGCAGGAGGCAACAGATCAATGATATTCTCACATCATTGATGATTTTTATCTCTCTTTCCCTCTCCCTGCCTCTTTGAAATCAATGGAAATAGTTTTTTAGAAAAGTATCCACAAGGCAGTAGAAAGATCACTGAATTACAAAGAAACAAGTGGGGCTGGCCTCAGACTTCTCCATCAAATCTATACATGTGATTAAATTACAGAACAATAACTACTACAGCCACACATACACACGTACACACACACACACACACACACACACACACGTACACAATGCTTACATAAAACAACTGTGAAACCTGAACAAGGTTTGCACTTCAGTTAACAGTACTACACGGTGTCGATGTCTTGGTTTTGATATTAGTCTGAAGTTATGTAAAATGTTATCACTGAGGGAAGCTGGGGAAGGGTACATGTCTCTGTACCGTCTTGGCAACTTCCTGTGACTCGATAATTTATTTGTGACAGAATCGTAACAGGTTCTTGTAAACCTCAATTCCAAACTTGTAACAAAAGGTAAATAAATCAACTTAACACCTAATCACCTAAAAGGACCGGACGGGTGGATGCTTAATCACTTCCACATCGATCCCAGCAGTCGTGTTCAGCTATCACTGAGAACAGCAGAATTCCCGCACCGAGCTGCCACCACACAACTAGGCCGACTGAAGCTTAAGGAAGAAGTCAACGCTCTTAGCTTAATCTCATAGAAAGTGACTTCTTTGCAGACAAATTACCCACTGGGGATATTTTTCATTTGTGGAGACCTGCTCTGCCTCCCTCCCTTCCCTCCTCCTAACCCAAAGAGGCAGCATGTGAAGCAACTGTCATGGTCCCCAGGCAATTGGGACCTTCAGGACAGCGAAGACCTTCCAGCCCAGCTGACGAGGTTCAGCGGTTGAGCATCATGGACCCATGAACCAGGCCATGGTTCGATTCCCAGTCAGAGCAGCAAATCAATGGTTCTCTCTCATGACTGATATTTCTCTCCCTCTCCCTTCCTCTCTGAAACCAATAAAAACATATTTAAAAAATAAATACACAAAGACCTTCCGGAAGAGGGCCCACTTACCCTGTCCCAGCTGAAACACAGGCCCAGGCGGTCCAGCTGCTTCCGCATGTACTTAATGTTGCTGTGAAATAGAGGGAAGGAGGTTTGGGCTTAGAGAGGGAAAGCCGTAAACAAACTAGACTGAGAATGGGAAGGGAAAGGGGAAAGCCTGGATTTATTGCAAAGGGCTCTAAGTGTCGTTTTGCCCTGGCCTCCAAAATATCACTAAGTGCCCTAACCAGTTAGGCTCAGTGGGTAGAGCATCAGCCTGCGGACTGGAAGGTCCCAGGTTCGATTCCGGTCAAGGCATGTACCTTGATTGCAGGCACAACCCCACTGTGGGGTGTGCAGGAGGCAGCTGATCGATGTTTCTCTCTCATTGATGTTTCTGGCTCTCTACTCCTCTCCCTTCCTCTCTGTAAAAGATCAATAAGATATATTTAAAAATATATATATCACTAAGAATCGATGAAAATGCCAGCATATTGAAAGATACTGACTCTTTGGACTCACACAGGATCTACTAGAAACCACAAAGGTTTTGGCCCTGGGATGGGCCCTTGATCTGGCCACTCAGGTGGGCAACCCCTTTTCTGCGGGCACTTCTGGCCCATCCACCTGGGGCGGGCAAAAGTAGTATGAAAAACACGGAGTTTATGCTTGCATTACTAATTATTAATTATTGTATTATTTTCCATACAGACACTGTAAACCTACTTTTGCCCCACCCTATATGTCTGTAGTCTGCACGGAGTTAAGCCAGGCAATTGGCATAAAATCCGCTGAAGAGAAAAAAACCTTAACATATAAACTGTGGGAATCCCCATACATGGGTGTTTGAATGTCTATAAAAACACCTTTTGAGTCCTAACCAGTTTGGCTCAGTGGATAAAGCGACAGCCTGCGGATTCAAAGATCCCAGGTTCGATTCCGGTCAAGGGCATGTTCCTTGGTTGCAGGCACATACCCAGTAGGGGGTGTGCAGGAGGCAGCTGATCAATGTTTCTTTCTCATCAATATTTCTAACTCTCTTTCTCTGTAAAAAATCAATAAAATATATTTTAAAAAAACAACAACTAAAAGCACCACACACCTTTGTGTCCAACTGTCTGGATGCAGATTCCTCTCGATGGCGGCGTTCTCAGCAGGCAGTCCGAACGCATCCCACCCCATGGGGTTGATGACCTAGGACCAGAAGGGAAGCGTCAGGCATGGCGGACGGTGAAGACCTAGATCGGTGTCCCCTCTGGGTGATGAGCAGGCATTCTCTTCTACTGACATGCCTGTCCCTTCCTGCTTGAGTTCAAAATGTGCTCTGGGAAGCCCGCTAGCCACCTCTGACATAGCGAGGATTTAGCAGGTTACACACTGGGGCATGTATGGGAGGTGACTCTGCGGCAGTGTTTTCATTACTGCATCTCAGGGTTGTTGGCCAGGATAATCTCTCTCTCTCCTCTCTCCTCTCTCCTCTCTCCTCTCTCCTCTCTCCTCTCTCCTCTCTCCTCTCTCCTCTCTCCTCTCTCCTCTCTCCTCTCTCCTCTCTCCTCTCTCCTCTCTCCTCTCTCCTCTCTCCTCTCTCCTCTCTCCTCTCTCCTCTCTCCTCTCTCCTCTCTCCTCTCTCCTCTCTCCTCTCTCCTCTCTCCTCTCTCCTCTCTCCTCTCTCCTCTCTCCTCTCTCCTCTCTCCTCTCTCCTCTCTCCTCTCTCCTCTCTCCTCTCTCCTCTCTCCTCTCTCCTCTCTCCTCTCTCCTCTCTCCTCTCTCCTCTCTCCTCTCTCCTCTCTCCTCTCTCCTCTCTCCTCTCTCCTCTCTCCTCTCTCCTCTCTCCTCTCTCCTCTCTCCTCTCTCCTCTCTCCTCTCTCCTCTCTCCTCTCTCCTCTCTCCTCTCTCCTCTCTCTTCTCTTCTCTCTCTCTCTCTCTCTCTCTCTCTCTCTCTCTCTTCCACTCTCTCTGAAAAGCAATGAAAAATCCTCAGGTGAGGATTAACAAAAAAAAAGAAAAAGTCCTAGCAGCTGAAATCAGCAAATCTAGAAAACAAACTTCCAGAGTGTGAAAAATCATTTCTAGCTCTTCTTCTAACCAATGCTCTAAGAATTTAAAACTGAGAAGCCAAGCGGACAGCACAGCAGCCAGAAGTTGAGAAGAGCAGGCTGCTGCCACTGCCTCTGGCCGGGAGGCTGGAGGGGGAGCAGAGTTATCGGAGCTCAAAGGCCCGGAGCGGCCGCAGCAGCTGAAATAGGCAGGCCTTCCCGGACGGAATTGGACTAATGACGGAGGCACTACCCAGGCCAGAAAGCAATTCCCTCCCTGGCTTCTCCTTTCCTCCAGCCCCTCCTAAGGCCAGAATTTCTTATTGCCTGAAACCGGCCAGAAGCCAGCTGACACCAGAGCCTGGTAAAGCATGGCTTAAGGGGTCTGCCCTTCTGCCGTTCAAAGCAAAGCAGGGGAGGGTCTGACAGCAAACTGGCCAAGGACCAGCACAGGAACACCAGGACTGCACAGTCTCCCAGGACTTGAGAGACATCCAAGAGGAATCGAACCAGTTACTGATGAAGGGACGGAGCCCTGGCAGGTCAGACCAGAGCTGACCAGGAGAGGAGGCCTGGGAGTGGGTCTAGGCCAGCCTCTGGTGTGGACACAGTCACATGATCGCGGCTCACCTTCCTGCCTCCCTCCAGGAAGAGCCACCAGCATCTCAGGGTTGTCGGGCAGGATGGACAGCAAGGTGGCCAGGAGAAGGGACACAGGAGACAGCACAGCTACACATGACAATGGAAGACAAGGCTCTGGAGAGATGGACTGGAAAGCATCGGGGATTACTGCCCAGAAGGGCCTGGTGAGGCAGGGGGTGGCCAAAGGAGACCGCGGTCTTTCACATGCATATGTATTTTCACGGGGGAATATGGAACTCTATGCTCGATTTTAAAATACTTTTCTTTCAAAAGGAAAAAAAAACAAACAACAACAATCAAAAGTACAGTTCTTGTGTGGTCAGGGTGGCTCAGTGGTTGAGCATAGGCCATCTCTCCCTGTCATCGTAAAACGACACTTGAGATTGGAAATCAACTCGGCTTCTAATTGACAGCAACCATGGTTACTGCTTCTCAAAAACACTGCTATTTCCAGAGAGTGCCACGGTTTCTCTGGAGTAGGTGCAATCGTTTATGTCTAAGAAATTCGAAACACAATATTTCCTTTTGTTTAGCAAATGTAATAACCCACTGCAATTATAGATTGGGGATCAAATTCAGGCCAATACTTCAGGGCAAAGAGCATCCGAGTAACAGCACGGAGGCCCAAGCAGGAGACCTCCCCTGAGGAAGCCAGGAATGTGATAGGCCAAGATCTGCCAGTTCCCAGTCAAGACCCTGGACCAGCAATTCATTCTCTCCCTCAAATTGTATCTGAGAGGATAAGCTCTACTTCCAGACATTGCACATTTGAAAACTCAGGGCCTAGTTGTGTGCAGAGGGACAAACTGGTAACGGATGAAACACACACTGAGTGGCCAGACTGTTATGATCTCTGAACGCATAATAATATGGCTACTGCGTGTGTGTGTGTGTGTGTGTGTGTGTGTGTGTGTGTGTGTGTTTTAGAGGCCCGGTGCACGAATTCGTGTATGGGTGGTGTTTGGCCAGCCTGGCCAGGGGGAGGGGACATGGGCGGTTGGCTGGCCTGCCTGTACTCCTGGTTGAGGGGACAATTTGCATATTAGCCTTTTATTATATAGGATATACACTGAGTGGCCAGATTATTATACGTTCAGAGATCATAATAATCTAGCCACTCAGTATATATTATGATTCATGTGCTAAGACCTCCCCTCACTTCCTGATAGTCGCAGGTGACTACGTCTGGTCACACAGCTGCCAGATATCTCCATGTCTTTCCTCTTCCTCAGGGAACAGCATAAAGGCTGGAACAGAAAACTCGGCTGGGGCAGTGCCCGGAGGCTTTCTGCCTGAGACAAATTAGCCCAAGTCTGTGAGGAGACTTGGCATGTTGATGCTAATCAGCCGATGCTTTAATCTGGCCCAGAAGGTGCTGGGGAGACCAGCCGAGGTGGGAGGAGGGTAATTTTATTTTCCAACCATCTGTGCATACAACAGATGAAAACACAACAAAATCACCATATGGAGCTGAGCTGTAAATGTGTCATCAGACACTGCGGGTTTATGGAGACGGACGGCGGAGCAGCCCTCCTTGCCGATTCCTGACTGAGGGTGACTGATCTCTGGCTAAGAGCAGCCCCTGCTCCACAGCCACCCCTCAGCACCACCTATTAGTGCTCCTATTCATTGGGTTCCACGGGAAAACTGCACAGGAGTTTTTAAAGGGTTTTCTCATTGATTATCTCACAGGAGCTGTGCAACCAATCTGAGGTGGGAGGCGGTCAGCCACTCTTGTTGACTAAAGCCCCTGATGCCTGACCGATTCGTCACCCTCAAGCCCCCGAGCTTCCATTTGTGAAGGCCACACGTGCTCTACTTGTGTGTCCACCGTCTGGCCAGCTGTTTGTGACTTCAGTTTCCACAAAGGAGCAGTGACACCCTAGCCCAGTAGTAGGCAAACTCATCAGTCCACAGAGCCAAATATCAACAGGACAACGATTGACATTTCTTTGGAGAGCCAAATTTTTAAAACTTAAACTTCTTCTACTGCCACTTCTTCAAAATAGACTCGCCCAGACCGTGGTATTTTGTGGAAGAGCCCCACTCACAAGGCCAAAGAGCCTCAGTTTGCCAACCACAGCCCTAGCCAATTTGGCTCAGTGGACAGAGCGTCGGCCGGCAGACTAAAAGGTCCTGGGTTCGATTCCGGTCAAGGGCATGTACCTCAGTTGCAGGCTTGATCTCTGGCCCTGGTGGGGGTATGTGCAGGAGGCAAGCAACCGATGTTTCTCTCTCATATCGATGTTTCTCTCTGTCTCTCCCCGCTCCTTTCCACTCTCTAAAAATGAATGGAAAAATATTCTCGGATGAAGATTAGTAAAAAAACAAAAACAAACAGAACAGTGGCAGTCCTGGCTTTGGGGCACATCTCCAGGAGCTACAAGAGCACAGGGACCACAGAGATCAGTTACACTCTTGGTTCAACTCTCCTTTGCACAACTTACTTGCTATTATAGAAAAAAAAAAACAAAGTAAAAGCGAACTTGAACTTTCCAATCATCGTTTTCGCCCATTCTCAATCTCCAAGTACAACCTGTGGTCTGGGCGGCTCAAAGGCAAGGGGGATGAATCAAAAATCCTGACTATACAAAGAAGTCATACGGAGCCATAGGAAAAAGACACCCACGTTGGCAAAGAATGCGAACAAGCCAATCAGAGAAGAGGAAAGTTAAATAGACCTGAAAATCTCTCAGCTTCACCAGGACGGCACCCAGGAAAATGGAAATTAAAAGCACAATCAGATGGTATCATTTGCTGAATACCAAATCAGCAAGACTAAAAAACCCAGCATTACTAAGTGATGGCAAGGATGTGAGTTAGTGAGAAATGTCATGCGCTGTCATTCACTGCTGGCAGATTTCATCGGCACCAACACTTTAGACAGCGATTGGACGAGGTGACCCAGCATGATAAACATTCTCAGCAAGCTAGGAATAAGGGGGGACTTCCTCTCCTTGATAGAGACGCAAAGACAAAGTGGAGCAGAACAAACGTGTGGAAGAAGCCAAGATGCAGCAGAGAGACCTGGAGAGCGGGGTCTCACGCCAAGAGAGCCGTGTCTCCAGGAGGCGGGAACAGTAAGGCATTTCAGGGACAGTCACACCCACAGAAGTCCCCGGTGACCCTGGACGGAGCAGACTTGGTGCACGGGTCACTCCTGTATGTTTTACTTCCCATAATGCTGTTCTTAGTGTGCCTGAACAAAACAAATCAACCAACAAATGAACAAGTTACGGAGAAAGGCAGAGCTTGCTGAACTTTCCTTGGGCCTATTGACTAATTTGAACCCAAGCTCCAATACAGTTGAGCACTGAACAATGTGGATTTGAACTGCGAAGGTCCACTTATACACAGACTTTTTTTTTCCAATAAATATAACAGTCAGCCTCCACCCCATATTCCTGGGTTCTGCATCTATGGATTCAAACCAACTGCAATGCAGAGGGTTGACTAGGATTTATTGAAGGGACTTGAGCATCTGTGGGTTTCAGTATCGATGGGGGTCCTGGGACCAATCCTCTACACATGCCGAGGGAGGATTGTAGTTTAGTTTTTGGGAGGCTTAACAGCTATGCTATGATTTTCAACCGCACTGGGCACATGGGGTAGCCCCTAATTCCCGTGTTGTTCAAGAGTTTGTATTTAATGCAGCAGAAAGCCCAGTGGTTAGAATAAAGCTGGTATTAATGACTATTTATTTAAAGAATTAATCATACATGTGTCAGACCCAATTATTCTAGGTTAGATATTCCTTCCCTCCTTAGTATGAGGATCATTGAACTTGACCTGAAACCAATCCTGTGTGCGCGCGCGCTCGCGCGCGCGCGCGCTCTCTCTCTCTCTCTCTCGACTTGACATTGGGAAAGAAGGATTTTAAAACAACAGGAAACTCAACAGGCTTTCACACTGTTGGCAATTTTTTTTTTTTTCACTGAGATTTCTGTTTCTCTTTTGCCATATCATTTAAAAATGGCAGGACAAATTTTCACCAAATCTGGCAGTAACGTTTGGAATGATGTGACTTAAACATGAGCTCTGAAAATTAACAAGAAATTAATTTCAGGGAAACCTGGAGGATGGATAACCCCCCAAAGAGAGCTTACCATCTGAAATGGAAGAACAAAGAGAACCCTAGGCGCCTGCTGATCACACAGACCAAGACACCGTAAACCACATGACAAACAGTGGTTTCAGGCCCCGACCCAGCCGTAGGGTAACCCAGAATAAACCAGATCCGGATAAATAATTATCACAGCTGCCACCTATTAAGGGATGAATATGTGCCAGACACATGCACTAACTCATTTAACCTGCACAACAACCCGCTGCGGGAGGAACCACTGTTACCCGTGTTGCAAAGATGCGGGAAGTGGGATTCGGAGACATGAAATGACTTGTGCAGGGTCACTCAGCCGGAAAGTGGGGGGACGGGGTTCAAACCTGGGAGTCCAACTCCTGAGCCAGCCTGACCTTGGGCCTCTGTTTTGTCTTCCGGGCCTGAGCTGCCCACCTGGGTCCTGGGACCTCTAGGCCTGGGGCCCTGCCTGGAACTTTCTCTGTCTCCTCCATCCAAGGAATTAGAGTCCCACCTACACCCTCCTCTACCTGCTAACGGCTTCCCTTTCTTTACCATAAATGTTCAGTTTTGCTACAGAAGCTTCATCTTCAACAATTTGCCTGCATTTGCTAACTGTCTAAAATAACTTCGGTAAGTTAAGAAAAAGAAAAAAATCTAGTTGAAGAATCACAGTTAAATAGAGTTATTCTTCAGGCAAAGGGCCAATTCATTCCGCACCCCCTCTTTCTAATAAACACGGCGGGAAGATGGAGAGCCGTGTCTGGGGGAGGCGGCATCTGGCATAAAGCAGGGAGACAAACACCTGTGGCCGGCTCCACGCATGACACAAATCTCTGCGCTGGACAGGACGACGTGCTTAACTCGTCCGGTGACAAAGAGGCGCTGTAGCCTGACTTCCTTTTTAGGAATCCTTCTTGCTGCCAGTGTCAGGTCGGCATAAATTTCCAAACCAACTGTGACGAGGGAGCACTCATCTTTCTAAGAGGAAATCTTTACGAAGGACTGGGGGGCGGCGGGCCTCATTTGTTACTGTGGTAAACACACGATGGGCAAAGGTGACCAGCGGGCGGGCTCTCGGGCGCTGCTGTGAGCCCATTCCAGCCACCACAGGCAGCGCCATGTTTACCGTTACCGCCACATGCCGGGTAGGTGCCAGGTGCTTCACCGCCACCCCCTTTGAATCCTTGTAACCATGCCAACGGGCAGGTGCTAGGTGATCTCCACTTTACAAATGAGAGGACACCGGGTTTCAGAGAAGGTAATTAAATGACTGGTCAAAGGTCCATGTTCGGAAGTGATCAGAGCTGGCCTTCGAGTCCTGGCCATCTGGCTCAGAGGTCCTTGCTCGCAGCCCTTCATCCATCCCGCCCCTCTGTAATTAACCAAGGTGCTACGATGATTCCCACCTCATGTCAGCAAAGAGCAGGAGCAGGCTCTGGGCTGCCTGGCAGTGGTGAGAAGGGGGCTGACCCACAGCAGCCAACAAGTTTCTTCCTTCTCCTCCTCTTCCTCCCTCCCGGCAAACTTCACCGCATCCCCCAGATCTGTCAGATGGTCCCTCTGTAGTGGCGCCCCTCCCAACCCCTGCAGAGCTGTTGCTCCCCAAATGTCTTTTCCTTACAAAAACGTATCCCAGTATGTGTTTCACCCCACCAGACGGCGAACCCCTTCCTGGGGAGATAGCATGTGTTACCCACATTTGTGGCTCCCTCACTCCATCCCCACCCCATCCCCATCCTTAGCACAGCGCCTAACACCCAGCTAATCTAGATGCTTTGTTATGATAACTTCCCGTTCATAAAAGGAAACACTGTTATGTTTATCTTCAAAGCGAACCTCATCCTAACGGAGCGGTTTTCTGCATTCGCCCTGAACACACGTTCCAGCACCACCCTTACCTGCATCCCTCTCATCCTCTGGAAGCGGGCGATGGTGTCGCTGATGGTGTACACGCGCACGTGGCCCATGTGCAGCTTGCCCGAGGGGTAGGGGAACATGGAGAGCACATAGAACTTGGGCTTTGATTTCTAGGAAAGGAAGGAGAAGGATGAGGATTATTTATTAAGCACTTCCTGGGGACCTGCTTGCACATGACAGTGGGCACTTTCCTCAAGGAAACTGTTTAACACTATAAAATGTCCGGCCAAAACCGATTTGGCTCAGTGGATAGAGCGTCGACACCTGCGGATTGAAAGGTCCTGGGTTCGATTCCAGTCAAGGGCATGTACCTTGGTTGCGGGCACATCCCCAAGAGGCAGCTGATCGATGATTCTCTCTCATCGATGTTTCTAACTCTATATCCCTCTCTCTTCCTCTCTGTAAAAAATCAGTAAGATATATTTAAAAAACACACACACACACACAAAAAAAACCCGTGTCCATTAGAAAATGCCGTTCCTATAATAGAAATGGACAAAAATGTCAAAAACCCAAATTCAAAGCGCTGGTTTGAGCTCAAGAATGTCCAAAATGATGCTGAAAGTGCTAATTACTCATCTATAGTTTTAATTTTTTTTTTCTCTCTCTTTTAAAAGCTTATCTTTAAGGCAGCTTCTATCTAAATCTCAGTAAACTGTTTTTTTCCAAATGAAGCTCTAGTGAGTCCCAGATGTGACATCTCTAAACATAGAGCCCTCTGCAACCCTGAGCTGCATTCAGACCTGGGTTAGCAGTAAGATCAGTCTCCAAGGCACCGGTTTGGGTCCTGGGTTTCTCACTGTGTTGGGAGCTTGTTTTATTTAACAGGAAACGCTGAAATGGGAAGAGTGGGGAAAGCTTAGCCCGTGAAGGGAGAAGGCCGTGGCTTCCCGGTGGGATCTGCAGGTGGCCTCAGCTTCCCAAGATGCAGCTTCCCCATGAGAAACACAGGGGACTGGCCGTGCAGCCCAACAGAATGAACACAGGGCGGGAAGTCCTCCTGGGGACGCTGGCTTCTCCCCTCGGTGAAATGGTGAGTGTTGACACAAGTCGGTGCACACGAGGGGATAAGGAAAGGTGGTGGGCATGTAACGATTTCCTTACGGGGCCTGTTGTTGAAGGGCAGGGGCTGGGTTTGATCATCTCCCCCAGGACCCCCCAGCAGAATTAATAACTCTTGGATGTCTGTGGGCCTTTGTGCTCCGGAAGCCTGATGACTGGCCTCTGCAGAGCTCTCCGCAAACTGTCCCCATGATGCAAACTGGCATTTTCCCAGTGAAGTCCTCCGATCCTGCCCAGGTGATGGCACGCTCCCTACCCCCCACCCCCACCCCCGCCCAGCCGTACGCCCTCCCAAGGGGCAGAGGAGCCCCTAGGCAGAAAGGCAGGAACTGCCTCTGCTTAATCACTAAGGGGTGCGACCATCTGATATCACACCATTTCTTCTGCCTTCTGTCTTTCCCTTTCTGTCCTTACTCCCTTCCCAGAGCGCCACTACAGTCCTCTAAGGCTTTGCTTCCCACAAACTAATGAAGACAAATGCAACACAGAATATTCATAACCATTCCTTTGTGATCATGTGGGGGAAGGAGATTCGAATTTTTTTGCTAGTGTTTGCATGCCAACTGTAACCAGAAACCAGATTCTTTCCAATCTCATCTGACCCCTTGCTTTAAACTTCCTTTCAGCCAAGAAGTTAAGACTTTTATTTTATTATTTTTTTAAAATACATTTTATTGATTTTTTACAGAGGAGAGAGAGAGAGAGAGAGAGCTAGAAACATCGATCAGCTGCCTCCTGCACACCTCCTACTGGGGATGTGTCCTCAATCCAGGTACATGCCCCTGACCGGAATCGAACCCGGGACCTTTCAGTCCGCAGGCCGACGCTCTGTCCACTGAGCTAAACCGGTTTTGGCAAGAAGTTAAGACTTTCAACAGAGCCGCTGACACGTGGCAAAATAAACTAGCATGGAACTTTCCTCTCCCTGGCCCTCCTCCAGAAATGACCGATGGGCAGTCAAGTCGAGATGCCTGAAGAAGAAAAGGGGATTAAGGAGCCTGGAGCACCATCTTGAAATGCTGCTGATGTAAGCAGATGGGTGGAAAGCAGCACACGGACAGCGCTCTAGTTGGAAACTGTGGATCCACAGCTCTTAGGAAAACCTCAGGAACGTGGCTGAGGACCGGAGGTTCAAAAGTCAGTGGAGACTCTGCCCTAACTCAGTGGTCAGCTCTATTGACTAATGAGTTTGCCGACCACTGCCCTAACTGGTTTGGCTCAGTGGATAGAGCGTCGGCCTGTGGACTGAAAGGTCCCAGGCTCAATTCTGGTCAGGAGCATGTAGCTTGGTATCCAGTAGGAGGTGTGCAGGAGGCAGCTGATCGATGTTTCTCTCTCACCGATGTTTCTAACTCTCTATCCCTCTCCCTTCCTCAATAAATTTTTTTTAAAAAATTACCGTCTTTAAGAAGAAAAGTGACAGATAATCCTCTCAGCTCGTAAACAAGGCTCTCAAAGGAGGAACAAGACCTCTGGAAATAAGCAAACTATCCTTCCTACTCATTTTTAGGGAATGTGTTCAAGAGCTGTTAAAGACTTCTTTCTTTATTTTTTTAAAATATATTTTTATTGATTTCGGAGAGGAAGGGAGAAGGAGAGATAGAAACATCAATGATAAGAGAGAATTACTGATCAGCTGCCTCCTGCATCCCCCACCGGAGATAAAGCCTGCAACCTGGGCATGTGCCCTGACCAGGAATTGAACTGTGACCTTATAGTTCATAGGTCAACACTCAACCACTGAGCCACACTGGCTGGGCTAAAGTTCTTGGGACCCGAAAAAAACACACAAGAAAACCATTGCTATAAAATATTTCTAGTTTTTCATGGTGAAGTTTTTACATTAAACCTGTTTTTCTTTTATTATCATCACCTTGTTTTTATTATAGTAATATATTTGATTTTATGTTTAACAATCAATCTTGCCCCAAACATTTTTCACATATAACTTCTTCATTAGCATCTCTTTTTTGTATGTTTGTTTAAACAAAGCTTAAATTTATGTAAAAACGAGTGATTCATTATACAGTAGCTAAGCCCAACACCAAAACTGAGTTTATAGAAGATATATAGAAAAGCACTGCAAGCAAAAGCTTTTAATATTCATGGATATTTTTATTGCAGCAAAGGTACTCAGCTTCTGCCTGCCCTGCCTTTCGCTTTCTGTGTGAATTAAGTCATTTTCTTCTGTGACAAAGAAATGCAGTCTAACCTCTGTGGGTGGGAAGAAGAGAAGGAATTATGGGAGTTTATGTTATAACCAGGCAGGAATGTAATTGAAAGGGAAATTTTCATAATTATATAAAAGTTAAGACTTTAAACCTTTAAAGGAAATTAAGATTTTAAGCAATAAGGAAAAGACGGTGTTTATAAATAGGTCCTATTCTTTTTGCCAGCTTCTCACATCAGGAGAGAGATAATTTCGGTCTCTTTATAGACCTGGCTCGGAGCTGGGAGGAAAGGAGGATGGCAGAGAGAAGGAGCACTCAACAGAAACCTGGAGCCCTAGTTCTGGTCCCCGCTTTGCCACTGGCTGGGAGACCTTAGGCCAATTCCTTTCTCTTTCTGGGCTCAGTTTACAATCTGTAAATCAAAGGTGAGCTCAGTGGTTAGAACACGGGACCTTGGATCCAAGGGGGGGGTGGGGTAGGGAAAACTCGGGTTTGAACTCCTGGTCAAGGGCATGCACCTCAGTTACAGGTTCCCCAGCATGTTGGAGGCAGCCAATCAATGTGTGTGTGTGTGTCTCTCCCTCTCCTCCTTCCCTTCCACTCTCTCTAGAAATCAATGGGAAAAATATCCTTGGGTCCGGCTGGCATGGCTCAGTGAACCAAGAGGTCACCTGAGATTCCCAGTCATGGCACATGCCCATTTCTGGGCTCAATCCCCAGTGTGGGATGTGCAGGAGGCAGCAACCAATCAATGATTCTCACTCATCTTTGATGTTTCTATCTCTCTTCCGCTCAGAAATCAGTAAAAATAGGCCGAAGCCGGTTTGGCTCAGTGGTAGAGCGTCGGTCTGCGGACTGAAAGGTCCCGGGTTCGATTCTGGTCAGGGCCATGTACATTGGTTTCTCTCATCGACCTTTCTAGCTCTCTCTCTCTCCCTTCCTCTCTGTAAAAAAATCAATAAAAAAATATTAAAAAAAAAAAAAAGAAAGAAATCAGTAAAAATAGATATATTTTTAAAAGATGACTGGGTCTGAATCCTGGCTCTGCCACAGGTGAGTTGTGCATCTGGACAAATTACCAAACCTCCCTCCGAGCCTCAGTTTCCTTATATCTCCAAGCTGAGGATAATACCTCCCCCAGGGTTATTTCAGGATTAAATGAGAAAATAAATGGACAGATGGTGCCTGACACACAGTAATATGCTTATTAAATGGAAGTTCTTATTAGGATGATGATAATTAGGATGATGATGGCAAAATATTCAACTTCCAGAAAATCATTAGGGTGGGTTTCAACTGTATCTCCGGCTACAGGGCGGTCCCTGCTAAATGCTCCCGAATACGGCATCAGCAGTATTTCAGTTCCTGACGGGACGCACCACACATGTTCTCCCCTTGTACCTTTTATTTACACACACTTCGGGTTGTAAAATGTGTTCAGACACATTTCCCCATTTGATTTTCAAAACAATTCTGTGAGATAAATAATGTGAGGAATGTGAGGATCAAGGTGGTTCATGATGTTGCCAAGTTTGCGTGAATTCTGGGGCAGAGCCAGTCCTTTACTGCGAGGCTCCAGACCCTCGCCAGGTGCTCTCTCCACTGCACCATCCCCCCCGCAAACCCGACAGAGTGCCAGGGCCCATCCACAATATCTCCAAAGCTATTCACCCAATTACTGGAACACTAGAGGCCCAGGGTACGAATTTGTGCACAGGTGGGGTCCGGCAGGGCATATCAGGCTGGGCTGGCCAGGGGGAGGGGCCAGGGAGTGGTTGGCTGGCCAGTTCCACCCCCGATCAAAGTGGGGGGCCAATCGGGGGGTGAGGCCAGTCAGGAGGAGGGGCCACAGGCGGTTGGCCAGCTGGCCTTGTCCCCTGGTCAAACTTCCAGTTGAGGGGACAATTTGCATATTATATAGAATAGTTTATTTTGATCCACTTAATTTTTTAAAAAACCATATGCTTAAGAATGAGATGTCACAAAATCAGTAAACTATAACTTCAACATGTTTGAAAGTCACTAAGTTATAATCTAAACCAAAAGCAGTTTAAGGTCCTTATTTAGAATTAAACTGCACCCTGACCAGCCGGTGTGGCTCAGTGGTTGAGCATCAACCTATGAACCAGGAGGTCATGGTTTGATTCATGGTCAGGGCAGCACATGCCCAAGTTACAGGCTCAATCCTCAGTGTGGGGCGTGTAGGAAGCATCCGACCAATGATTCTCTCTCATCATTGATATTTCTATCCTTCTCTCCCTCTCCTTTCCTCTCTGAAATAAAGAAAAAAAAATATATTTTTTTAATATATTTTATTAATTTTTTACAGAAAGGAAGGAGAGGGATAGAGAGTTACAAACATCGATGAGAGAGAAACATTGATCAGCTGCCTCTTGCACACCCACTCTGAGGATGTGCACGTAACCAAGGTACATGCCTTTGACCAGAATTGAACCTGGGACCTTTCCGTCCGCAGGCCGACGCCCTATCCACTGAGCCAAACCTGCTTCGGCAAGAAAAAAATATTTTTAAGAAAACTAATTAGCCGGGACCGGTTTGGCTCAATGGATAGAGCGTCGGCTTGGGGACTGAAGGGACCCGGGTTTGATTCCGGTCAAGGGCACGTACCTTGGTTGCGGGCACATCTCCAGTAGGGGGTGTGCAGGAGGCAGCTGATCAATGACTCTCTCTCATTGATGTTTCTAACTCTCTATCTCTCTCCCTTCCTCTCTGTACAAAATCAATAAAATATATTTTTAAAAAAAGAAAACTAATTAAACTGCTTCCTGAGATTTGTTTCCAAAATATATTAAGTTAGATTAGTCTGATCATGTTGCCAGGAAGACTTGTCACTTCCTAATGAGTAAGAGTTAGGCTTGCATTGCACATATACACATTACCTTCAAACCTTCCTTTTGTCATTTCACTTGTTAAATGCTATGCCTTTCTCAACGTCAGACTTTCTCGCCAGAGGTAATGGCTAACGCATCCGAGCCTGGTACCCAGCAGGCTGGCCTCCCAGAGAAGCAGCCAGCCTCCGGCTCCAGCCAAGCACTCCAGACAATTAATTCAGGTAGAGCCTGGGCTGGTGCATCTGGACCAGAAGCCCGAGGTCCACTAACTCATACGGCTGCTAATGCCAGGTCAGGCCCCAGCCCCAGGTCATACCAGGGAAGGGCTGGCACCTCCCAAACCATGGTGCTGAGGTGACAGAACAGGGTTGGCGGCCACGGCCTTGCCAGGGGAGGGGAAGGCACTTTAAAGTTCCTTGGCTGAGGGGCCCAGGGGCCACTTCTGGAGTCTCATGTCTGGCCCTGCCAGAACCCTGTGTGCTGCCCCACTCTGCAACGGGCCAGGAGGAACCTGGCGCCTGCTATGGCTCCTGTCTTGACGAGTTTCCAGTAAATGCTGCTCCAGAATGCCTGCTGCGGTGCTGTCTGCGTGTACCTGCGTGCACACGCACCACACTGAGTCTCTTCTAAGCACTTACATCTACCCTCACAAGCGTCCCAGGGAGCAGCGGGCACTGTTACTATCACTGTCCACTTTAGATAAGAAAACGGAAGCACAGAGAGATTCAGTCATTTGCTTCGAGATCACATCTATATAATAAAAGCCTAAGAGACCTTTACAGCGGGACAATCAGAATGACCGGTCGCTATAATGCACACTGACCACCAGGGGGCAGATGCTCAATGCAAGAGCTGCCCCCTGGTGGTCAGTGCGCTCCCACTGGGGGAGGGTCACTCAGCCAGAAACCGGGCTCACGGTTGTTGAGCACAGCGGAGGTGGGAACCTCTCCCGCCTCCACGGCAGTGCTGAGGAGCAGCGAGCGGAGCGGTAAAGAGCAGCGGGCAGGTGAGAAGGCGGTAAGAAGCGAGGGGTCCCAGACTGCGAGAGGGATGTCCGCTGAGGGCTCTCGGACTGCGAGAGGGTGCAGGCTGGGCTGAGGAGCCCCACCCTACTGGTGCACAAATTTTGTGCAACATGCCTCTAGTACTTAATAATTTGAACCGGGGAGTCTAACCTCAGAGTCCAAGCCCTTAACCCCTCTTCTCTACCCTTTGAGAATCGCCCAGGATACTCACATCAGCTTCAGAAGTTTTGGAGGCCTGTTCTTTTATCCGTGAATGCCACCATTTCTCAACGTCCTTTCTTGTCTGCAGCGTATACTCTTTCGTCCACTGGCCCGTGGCACTGTAAATTCCTCTTTTACATCCTGGAATGACTCTCCTTCCCCAACAGAGCACATCTGGCCCTCCCTTTAGCTGCCTTTTCAGAAGAGAGACATAGAAACCCAGTCTCTGCCACGCAGAAGCCATCTTCAGCAGGTGGGAGGCCCTGGAAGAGGGGAGAAAGCACACTGGTGAGCCGCCTGGGGTCCCCTCCTGCGCCTGGCCTTCCACTCAGCACAGCCCAGGGCTCCCTGCCCCCTCGCAGGCTTTCCTCTTACTCTTCGGATGATTTCTCTCCCTGAAAAGGATGCTTTAGAAGTTCAACTGAGCCAAGCACAAATTTTAAAAAACAACAACAACAAAAAAACACGTTTTTATTGATTTCAGAGAGAGGAAGGGAGAGGGAGAGAGAGATACAAATATCAATGATGAGAGAATCATTGATTGGCTGCCTCTTGCACGCCCCCTACTGAGGATGGAGCCCAAAACTCAGGCACCCCTTACCGGGAATCGAACTGCCACCTCCTGGTTCATGGGTCGATGCTCAAGCACTGAGCCACACTGGCCAGGCTAAGCGCAAACTTTTTAAAAAATTAATTTATTTATTTTTAAGCACAAAATTTTTAATGGAAAATATAAAGGTGGTCCGTGCTCCCGAACATCAAAGGTACAACCCTCCCTCCCTCGAGAGTTAAATGGAGCCCCCTGTCTGGGCCAGCTCCTACCACAGTCTCACAGACTGCGTGGGAGGCGGCAGAGCCCTCCCTCCCTTCTCTGTAGGCCAGCCCAGGGTCTGCCCAACAGGCTTCCCCTCCCATCATCCAGGATTCAGAAGAGCTCCAAGCATATCTTAGCTTGGCTTCAGGCTCAAATATCGGAAGAGATCCGAACACAGGCCTTCAAGGAGGACCAGAGACTGAGTGATTATAAGCACTTTTCAAATATTATAGTTCAAGATACTCAGTAGGCTAAACCAGGAAATAACCACTATTTAGAAGACTGCTTATTCACTTAGTTCTTCATTCATTTACCAAATCTGCGTTGAGTGCCACACAGCTCTAGGCACTGGGGACAAACACAAAGTCCCTTCTGTCCTGGCCCTTACACACTGGCAAAGAAACCAACAAACAATATACAATCTGTGTAACAGTGGTTTTTCTGGAATCCAGCCCATAGGTGGGGGCCCATCAGGACATCCAGCTGCAATTCAAAATTCAACTTAAACGTTCAAGTGCTTTTCTCCAAAGCTGAATTCCAGAAATGAACTCATGGAAGATGTTTCATGTTTTATCATGACTCAAAAGGTTGAGGTGACAGTGCATTAGATATTTAAGATGTATGAATAAATAAACTTTCTCCCTTCTTGCCTAGCAGCATTTGAGAAGTATTATAGTATTTTCATAACAGATCTTTCAAAAGAAAGAAAGAAAAAAGAAAGAAAGAGAGGGAGGGAGGGAGAGAAGGAAAGAGGGAGGGAGGGAAGGAGGGAGAGAGGGAGAGGAGGAAAGAAATGACACTCTAAGCTGGTGTTCTTTGATTCTCTCAGAATGGTTCCCATATCTACTAGGATTGGTCCCATTTCACAGAGGTACACGGATGTTGCCAACGGGGTTCATTGCAGGCTCATAAAAGCGAATTTCACACTCACATTAAATGGCATCACAGTGTTGGCATTTTACAAGTTGGTCTGCCAAGGTTCCTGACATACCAGTTCTCACTGTATTTAACACATCTCACTTCTTTGGGGGTGAAATCAGAAAAAGACTGAAAAACAACAACTCCCTATTCATTGGGCTGCCTATTTTAAAGTGAGTAGATGTTGCTATAGATGTAATAGTGAACTATGTGAAATTAGTTGAATATCAGCAATTCCATATGACCAATCTCATATATAAACACTTGGTGCAACTAAAGCAATTGTATTGATTTTTAGGGGTTGGGTGTCTACATAATTAGAACTACCTACAGGATTCATGGGTTTTATGGTTCTCTTGCTAAGCCAGCATTTACATACTGGCTTACATACCTTTGCCAACCAAAGAATGCCAGCTTAAAGAGCGCACACAGAGAGAGGCCTGCCATCTCTCTCCTAGGCTACGTTCCCTAAGAACACAATGGACTGTCCTCTCAAACAGAAACAACGGCAAGGAGCAAATTACAAAAACACAAACTGACTCCAACTGTAGCCTGGCAAGCTTTTGCTTTCAATGATGGTTAGCCATTGTGACAAATGAAACAGCAAAGAATGCAAACAGCTCACCAACAGGAGTAATATGAAGGTCATTCTTCCACTTACAATTCTAATCCTGTCTCTACAACTCACTTATTCTATGGAACCAAATTACAAACAATGCATTTACAAACAAGCTTTCTAGAAACATTTACATAATACCTGGCTCTCTAATAACCTCCAATAACCTTTCCTTTACACAAACCGATAAACTAGAGAATCCTGAAACCGATCTTTAAGAACTTAAAGCTCATAAAGAAAAAAGAACAAGTAGATTACAAAGTGACAGATTATTCAAAGAATGATGGGAAAACTAAAATCAGAGCCCCACCTCAAACATAAGCTAGAGTAAATCCCATATAAATTAAAGGATTTTTTAAAAATACCGTAAGACAAGACAAAAACATAAAGGGTAGGTAAAATATAGGGTTACAGTTGTTCGTATGGAAAGTAATAATAAATAAGAGTAAGCTGTGTCGCATACTCACAACTGTAAACCTACCTTGAGTACTTAGTAATTCTTTACAAGGTGCAATGGAAGAATTCAGAAAGAAAAATATTAATAATCTCTCTAAAAATCTAAACCACTGACCAAAAAAGAAAGCAAAAAATAAGCTGAGAGGAAACTACAAAAGCTGCAGCAAAAAAGCTTACCCTAATCTATAGAGTTCACATGAGAAGAGAGATGGGGGAAGGAGGGAGAGATCAACCAAAGGACTTGTGTGCATGCATATAAGCCTAACCAGTGGTCACGGACAAGGGGCTGGGCATGCGTGGGGAGGCACTGTGTGACCACTGGTTAGGCTTATATGCATGCATGGGATGGGAATCGGGGGATGAGGACCACCTTAGTCAATAAAGAAATTTTTTTTTAAATGAGTAGAGGAAAAAAGAGAAGAGTAAATACAAATGGCTAATAAATATATGAAAAGGATCAACTTTACAACTCATCAAAAATGCCAATTAAAACAACAATGAAATATTTTGCTTATCAGGTTGGCAAAAACCTGTTAAACCAAAAAGTGCGTGGGCAGTGCCCTCGGCGGGCCTGGATCGACAGTGTTTTGGACGGAACAGATGCAGGGATGCCCCTTCTTCCAGCCTCCAGTCACCCTCCTGCGTCTCATCCAGTCACCAACTTCAGAACCACCTCCGGGACCAGCCAACACACCGGTTTTTTTTCTACCTTAACTTTTTATTGCCGAATAACCCTGAGTTCCCAGATTCATCAGAATTATTCCACCGAGGTGGAGGCTGCGGTCAACGGCCTTGCCAGCCCGCACCTGCAGGCCGGGCCTCCTCACCTGCCTCTCTCTGGGCTTCTAGTTCAACCCTGACAACGTGACTCTTGAGGTCCATGTGGCTCTGGAGGGCGTGGGCCACTTCTGTGAGTTGGCGAGAAAGAAGCACGGGGCGCTGAGCATCTCTTAAAGCTGCAAACCAGCGCGGTGGCCGCCTTCTCTTCTAGGACGTGCTGAAGCCTCCCGGGATGAGTGGGCAAAACCCAGGACGCCATGGAAACCGCCCTGGCCTGGCGAGGAACTGAACCAGGCCCTTGAGGAGCTGCAGGCCCTGGGTTCTACCTGCACAGACCCTCATCTCTGCGACTTCCTGAAGACCCACTTCCTGGATGAGGAGGTGCAACTCATCAAGATGGGCGACACCTGACTCACCTCCGCAGGCTGGCCGGCCCCCAGGCTGGGCTGGGCGAGGATCTCTTCAAAAGGCTCACCCTCACGCATGGAGGGCTCACCCTCAGGCATGACGAGGGGCCTTTGGAGCCCAGAGCCCTTTGAGAGGCCCCTCTGCAGCTCCTGGTGTCTGGCTTTTTTTCTGAGCCTCTTACCAAAGCTACCAGCCATTCTTTTAACCATGCTGAAGCCCTCTCCCATGCACTGGACCAAATGAAACAATAAAGCTTTTTGCAGGAAAAAAGAAATGTGCGTGTGGCTCAGTGGTTGAGCATTGACCTATGAACCAGGAGGTCACGGCTCAATTCTCATTCAGGGCACATGCCTGGGTTGTGGACATGAATGGGGCATACAGGAGGCAGCTGATCAATGATTCTCATCACTGATGTTTCTCTTCTCTCCTCTCTCTCCCTCTCTCTCTCTCTCTCTCTCTCTCTCTCTCTCTCTCTCTCTCTCTCTCTCTCGTCTCCCTTCCTCTCTGAAATCAATAAATGTGCATTTTTATACAGTGCTGGTGGGTATGTAAATTGATTCTACCTCCCTGGGGAGCAATACGGGAAAATGTGTTAAGACTCAAAGAAAAGTTCAGGCCTTTGTGTTAGAGGGTCCTCAAGACTCAGCACCTAGTATATACTCAGGGCTATGATTTCTTTTTTAATACTTCGTTTCTCTTCTTTTTAAAAAAAATATATTTTTATTGATTTCAGACAGGAAGAAAGAGGGGGAAAGAGTGAGAAAGAGAAACATCAAGATGAGAAACATTGATCGGCTGCCTCCTGCACACCCCGCACTGGGAATTGAACCCACAGCCCTGACTTGGAACCAGTACTTCCTGGTTCATAGGTTGATGCTCAACCACTGAGCAACACTAGCTGAGCAGGGCTGTGATTTCTTATAGAACTTTCTGGAGCTCAGCCAAGTTCCCTTCCTTTACTTCCCACTCTCCACCAAAGCCCTGATGGGCATTGCCTCCTCCTGACCAGGACAGCCATTTTATTAGAGGACTATGCCCACAGGGGAAGTGTGAAAGGTGTGGCCTGTGTGTTGCATTTACGATCAGCACAGCACCTTTCTTCCTCATCTGTCTTATCCAGTTCTTGACCCAGATGTCTGGAATCTTGTCTCTTCTTCCACCACATCCCGTGATCCTCCCAGCCTCCCTGGGGGCTTAAGGTTCAGTTTTATGAGAATGGTGGGGGTCGTGGCATGTTCCCTTGGAGGGAGAT